AAATTGAATTTAATAAGGCAATAAGGAACCTAATAAGCTTGACAGGCAGTCTATTGTTGAAATACAATTTTATTAAAGATGATTTGTAAAGTAATTCTGTGTAATTATATAATTTGTGCGTTATATACAGTTGAGTGTAATAGTTTACTACCCTGCAGGAAACGGAATCAGTTTTGGACTATTTAAATACTAGTTGGGTCAAGAAGGTTAACTAGTTCAAGTTATGTCCATTTCAATGTAACGAAGTGGTCCATTTTTCATATGCTTGTCGTCGGAAACAACTAGTCCATTTGCTACTAGTTTTGCACTAGTGACTGTTAACCAATTTATGGTTACAGCTGTTAAACTACACTAAAAAAAATATTTTCACGAAAAAACTAAAAATTAATCTCTAAACCATCAAGTGATTGGATTTCACTAGTACTTGACGATGCCTAACTTGACGCTCTCCTAGTTTAGTATCCAATTAATAGGCGCGGTCCTTAGAGAATTTCTGATAATTATTATGTAATCAAATACAGTAAATGATAATTAAATGGAATTAAAACAAACTTACTTTTTTTGAGGCAAGTCGCCCTCTCTAGGACTTGAACCCGGGACCTTTGGATTTGTAGACACACTAACTGATTGAGCCACACACGCATCACATTTTGTAATGCCCTAACAAGGTTTATGAATTTTAGTGTGACATAATTCATAATCAGTGATTTTTCACATATATATTGCCTCGGACAGATTAAACAAAGTTTAAAATAAAACTAAAGCATCACCTAGCAAACAAAAAACAAAAAAAAATGTACAGAGACTGGGGATTGAACCGAGGACCTCGAGTGTTTGATTTGTTTAGTGTTAAATATCCCAAGACATTTACACTCTAGGCTATATTTTTGGATCATATGTGTTTCATTTGCAACTAGTTAAATTCCAGTTGCCTTTTAACTAGACCCTAACATGTATTTGTTCTACCAGTTAAATATTTTTAAGGTTTCTTTTGTCAGAAAGGTACTAGTCCGAGGCAAGTTTCCTTTTTACTAGTTTTGTATTAATCATTTTTTCGACTAGCACAAATTTTCTAGACCCTGTGTAGTCCAAATGCATTCAGACAAATTCCGGTTGCTTTATATTAGTTGTATAACTAGTTGTTTTTCAGTCTAGTTCGCATTTTTCCTGCAGGGTAATAAATCATAGAAAAATAAACAATCCAACAATAAAATTAAATGGAATATTAATTTGGGCAACGTAGTTTTGTGTGAATTATTTTACATTTTGTATAAATGTATTTTCTTACTTTTTATAGTTTTAGAAAGAAACTGTATTTATATAAAAGCTATTTCTCAAGACCACTTTTAATTAAAGGAACAATGCATCGCCCAGTACTCCTTTTTCAAAATATACTAAGTATTTTGATATAAAAAATGGATGAAACAAAAAGCACTTTGCACTTGAAGACTATTGTGCTTTCCATTGTTCTTGGTTTCCCTTTAACAACTCTTCTCCCAACAGCTTTTCTTAGCCTTCTTTCCGCCACTTTTTTTTTGCCTGAAAGACAATTGAAGCGAATAACCAAAACGAAATTCGGGGACTAGCAGAGCAAAACCGAAACAGCATGACCCTGTAAAGACTTGGCTCAAAGTCTACGAGGATTTTCTGGGGTCTTAACACCTTTCACTTCTGCATTTGCTTTTGCCGCTCTTCACACGGCCTCTTTTGGCCCTGGAGAAAAGGTAAGAAAAAGCGGCATCAGGTTTCGATTTGAAGTTATGCCTTTTTATGCCTTTCTCAATTTTTGCGTTGGCTTTGAGTTACTTCTTCAAAGGGTTCTGTTTTTGGCAAGGTTTAAGTGTGGGTTAGTTTTAGCGGCTGAAAAAAGCCAGTAAATAATTAGAAAATATTTAATTCACTATACAAAAATGGTGGTACAATAAAAAAAATTAAATTATTAAACTAAGATGTCATTGGGAATTTATTATGCAAATTAATGGAACTTCAACAAAACATTGTGAAATTATCCCTTTGCAGTCTCATGTGCAGTTTTGCCTTTTAGAAGTTTCTAGTTTCTACCGAGCGCATTTCATTTTCAGTGCTAGCAAATTAATTAGGTACGATTATAACCATTTCCAGCCGCTCTTCAGGTACGCTCCAACAAATGTCTAAACTACTTCTACCTTTGGCATGACAGCCACTCGGGAGGGAAACTGCAGTGCAAACAGACTTTCGGATCCACTTTGTTAGCTTCGGCATTAAAATACTTAACCCCATTCCGGGGCTCCCCACCGCCCATCATCGAAAACAAACCCACTTGAGGCGCACCGTAATCTATCAATAATATTATTACTTGAAGCGAGTTAGTTAGTTGGGTAGTTAGTTAGGTTCTCTTCAGCCGGTTGCACTAGCCGCACTCAGAAGTTTTAACCAAACTCACCTGGGCTGCGCTCCTTTTGGATGGCCACTCAACGGGGGGCCAGGTAATTCCCTGGGTAAATTTATAATTACTGGAAGCGACTTGAACTAGTTATGCCGGCAGTTGGAGTCCCTTTTGGGAACGAGGGAAGGGCATCCACGGGGACCCAAAAGTTGTATCAACTTGTTGTCTGGCGGGTGACCAAGGCGCCAGGCAATCTAATTTCCATTTACCCATTTTGCCAACCCCCTCCCCTCCAAAAATGCCCCTACTTTGTTGGCTTTTTCATTGGGTTTTTCAGTCGGAAGCAGCCGCACCTGGAAGCTGGCTAAAAAGTTCACTTCAGGCAAAATTAAGTGTCATTTTTATTCGATTTGGTCTTCTCTTTTTTTGGTGCTATGAAAAGTGCACTCGGCAGTTAAGCAGAGTTTTGAGAGAGTTCACGGGCTATTTTATTGATTTCAATGGAAATGGAAATGCAATTAAAAATTTAGCAGAGTTCCTGGCGTAAGTGCATTAACATTAACTGAAAAATGATTTATGCTGTGTTTGACATTTTAATTATGCTCGCCGACGCAGCAGCAAACAAACAACAATCATGTGGATATCTCCGTGTGCCGGCGTGTGAGTGACTTTCATTAAGTTCTTTTTTATGCGCTTAAATTTCCGGCCATTTGTTTTAATTTTTGTTATTTAACGTTCAATTTTTAATGTTCAATTAATTGCATTAAATTATGTGCAAAATTATGCACTTAAAATGCAATAAGTTTCCGCCCATAGACAAAATTGACCCATCGGATGAGTTGATTTTTACATTTTGTCAATTGAATAATGCACATTGTCGGCTGTGTGCGTAAAAAAAGAATTGATTGTAATATATTAAAATATATTTTTGCTAGTAAGAAATTTAAGGGCAAAGTTTGCTTTCAATCAATAACCCGTTGGAAATTATTCAAGCGAACTGACCTTCGATTAAAGCCACAGCCTTCGGAATTTCTGTATTTCTGCTCCGCCAGCAATCACTTTAATTAAGCTTCATCTTTTTGGCCCTTACGTCGGTTGTTTCACTCACTATTTGGTTTATTTTTTTTCGTTGTGTGGCGGACAACAATTTGCCAATAGCGTCCTGGACAGGACATACGCATGCCGAAGCAATTAGTCAGAAAATTTAACACAGTTCATTGGGCAAATTTGAACACGGCTGAAGCTAATGACATAATTTCGCCATTGACTGGATTAGATAATGCCTAGGACACACTTGCACACTTATTCCCCCGCGCCCTTGTCCTCGTCCTGGTCCTTGGCCAGTTAATTGTTGTCCGTAGGTCCTGGTCAGGACACATTACAATCTGTTATAAGCCCGAAGCCAAAGATTAATGATCAGGAAGGCCTAATGAAGTTATTCCGGACAACGGACAAAAGACAACGGACAGAATTCGATTCCCTGGGCTCCTCGATGAAGACAATGTAGGTGTGATGAAGTGCCAGCGAATCCTGGGGAATTCAAAGCTTGCTTTTTTATTTATGATGCGTTTAAATTGTTGCTCTTTGCATATTTACCTTGTTATTTTATTACGTGACGGAAATGAAGAGAAATATAAAATACAATAAAATAAAAAGCGCGAGCAGCGTCCACATAAACAGCGCGAAAACATTGTCACAGCGTGAAGTCGAATGGTTTTTACATGCAAAAATATTTCATTTCCTCCAGCAGCGAAATGCTTAATAATAAAAAAAGCAAAATGAGCGACAAAGTAAATTTCATAGTGAGAGGGACCCAGGAAGCCGGGACAAATAAAAAACTGCAATAAAAATCTGTTTAACATGAAGTGCGGCAAACGCACAAAAGTCTTTCTGAAGGGAGTTCCTCGGCAATCGTCTTGTTCTGTCTCCGCTTGCCTTTTGCCCATACACTTTACAACTTATGAGTGCTAATAAAATTCACTCGGCACAGAACAGACACGCATATATACCGCTCGAGTTACTCAAAAAAAAGTACAAGGGAGTCAGTCCTTCAAGGTGTGCGCTTTGATAAAGAATCCCCCTCCAGGCGAATCCGTTTGGGATGCGGGGACTAAGTGGAGTAGAGATCCCAATGGACAGAATAAAAGGCAAGGATTTCATTTTAAATTTAACAATTTATTGTGTCAGCTCTGCGGAGCCAAAGAGTGGTTGGCAGTTGCCTTCTGCAATTTCTGTGATAATTTCGCAAAGAAACGCTTGCCGAATGAAGAAAAGAAACCCTGATAAAACCACCGATGCATAAGCTTATTGGACATTATTAGGTGTACTTTTGCGATTATGATTTACCAAGATTTGTATCTATTGCATAGAATTTGAGTACTTGTTGAAATATTTATTAAAATAGGATATTTTGTATAAATGAAAAATATTTAACAAGTAGAAATAAGGTTTTTCCCAATATAACTTGATTAATGGTTTGCGCATTGGCTCAAAAGTTTATTACTCATACGCAGTGTTGGTCGTTATTGAATAACTATATTTGTTCGTAATACAATTTCCTATAAATGTACTTCCCAGCTATCAAAGTTAACCTAGAGAAAGCTCAAATTACAAATAAAAATACAAATGAAGCAGAATCATGACTGGAAAGTGGAGAGCTCTTCTGCTTTTGCTGCAACTGCTGGGAAATTTGGAGACGGGTCAGGCGATCTGGTTTCCCTGGTACTTCCAGAGGTACGGACTAGCCCCGCACTCGACTCGACATGGCGGAGGTCACAAGAACAAGACCGATTCGAGCTGTCCACCGGGCTACGAACCCAAGTCCTCGGCGGCCAAGTTGATGGGAGGAATGGGAGGTGAACGGAGTGCTGGATCGAGAGATAAAGGACGACTTTGCGACGATAATCCCGTGCTGATGCAGCTGGCCCGACTCTATGTGGTGAGTCCCGAGAGGATTGTCCTGCTGCTGGCCCAGCCCTCGCTCACCGATTCCTGCGCCGAGATCACCGAGGTGCTGGGCAACATACGAAAGTCCATGCGCAACTGCATCCTGGCGCCGGACAATATCTACGGGAGATTGACCGATGGCCTGGCCTACTTCCAAGCGGAGGTCTGTGAGGGCGGCGATGGCAGCAATCGGAAACGATGCACTGGCCTCCAGGAGTCGCACAACTGCCTGCGGGAACTGCGCACCGATATGATCGAGTGCGAGGCTCCGGCGGATTGGTACGAGCGGAGGAATGCCACCAAGGTGTGCCACATCTTCAACGATGTCCTGGACTGCTACTACACGAGGGCCGCCCTGCTGTGCGGCATCGAGGTGGCCAAGCAGCTGAGATCCTTCGCGGGGGACAGCATGGGCCGAGCCATGGTGCACAGGTGCGAGGTCAACAGGAGATTACCGAGGGTGGATAATGCCATGCCCATCGCCACGAATAACGGGGAGGGTCTAGGGTTTACTTTTCTTATTTATTTTAATTTTTTGCACATTATCATTTGGCGTTCAGGCCTTAAAAATATATTTCTGTTATAAAAAACTGTTTATTTTCCAATTTAATGAATTTAGTTTATTCCTTTGAGGCTGGCGTTTTGAAATTTATTTATTTCAAGCTGTCACCTGCCCCCACGACGTAGCCTCAATAAAGTTTGAGAAAGGAACTAAATAAACGTACGGCCATCATTTATCTTGCGATTGGCCTAAAATGCCAACTTAAGTGTTTAGCCATTTTCAACTAAATTTCAATAAACACCCGAGGGACTTGGGCTGTCGACAAAGTAAGCCAATTTACCAACACCCGCATAGTTCGGAGCTGTGCGTGGGTATCTGTGTGAGAGGCGACCGCAAACATACAAACACTGCTCACGGGAAACCGATGTCGACATTCGCCTCTAGCTTAGAGCGAAACTCATCAATTATGTTGACGCGGCTGGAAAATAGCTGGTTGGTTTTGGATGGGAATGGGGATGAGGATAGTGGGATGTGGGTGGTTCGATGGCCGCGGGTGGTGCGGCGGTTCGCCGAGGTGGCCTTTGTTAATGACACCTTTCCCAATCGCTTGAGCCGGCCAGGAGGAGCGAGATCCGAAGGCTTTGGGGGATGGCTTTTACATTTGCATCACACGCGAGGAGCTTGGCCGCAGGAAATCTGCAAAATGCACAGCGGGCTGCCATTGAAAAGCATTCGAGTGGTTGAACCTCAGTTTATCAGCATCGGCAGTCAATAGCCATACGTTTAGTCAGGATCAAAAGGTATGCTTATTAAATTTTAAGTCAAACTTTCCATGTCAAAGTTTATTATGAAAAAACCCTAAAAATGGTCCCCATTTTTTCCAGCTTGCATTGCATTTTATAAATAACGTATTCTTATTACTTATTCTTATCAAAATGTCAAATGGAATTTGTATTTTCCCATGAACTCATATTTAATATGAACAAATGAGTTGCTCAATTTTAATTTTTAATAGCTGGACAGCTAATTATTCAGACAGAAAACATTTGAAATACTCCTAATCAACACAAAATGTTTTACGGAAGCAAAATGAGATTAAGTGATTAAGGGGAAATCACCGCTTTGGGTTGACGAACTGTTTCCTATTATTTTTCGACTGAATTCACTTATCAAGTTATTGTTGAATATTCACGTGCCCTTAATCAGTAATAAACTCATATATATGTATACATTATAAATTATGAATGTCAATTATTTTTCAAGATAACCTACGAATTCCGTAGATGTAAATTAAATGGCAATAGAAACTTGGTGAGCGTACTCGCGTTCGCACGCAAAAAATTTCCGTCTCCATTTTTTCAAAAAACTATTTAAGTCAGTGATGTGGTCAAAAATAAAAATTATTTTAGTTCTTTTCGCTCTTGTGATTCCAAAAAATGTTTATATGACTGTAATTTATATAGAACTGAACGATTATAATGAGAATCAAGAAGTGCAAATAAGACTACCAAATAATGATACATTAGGCATTACACTTAATTTAAAAATGTTTAAGCCAAGTGAAGTTCTAAATGTTGATAATACCACGTTGTCAACAACAAACAAAGATTCCGTAACACCTACGCCACTGACAATTTCAGACACAACAACAGAAGAATCAACCACTTACACGGAATATTCATCTACTACTCTCCAATCAAATCAGGAGGTAAAATAATATAAAAATATTTTTTAACTTTGAACTTACAGATTCATTTGGCATAAATAGATCCTAACTGAACTATTTATCACACAAATAGTTAAGCATTCTTCGTTTCTTAAATATATTATTTAAATATAAAATCATTGCGTAATGAAGCTAACTTGGAACCAATTTACCAATAACAAAGCCAATCATAAAAACAGCAGAGTTCAATTACGTTTTTATTTTACAGACTTATAAGAGTACTCAAATTTCAAATAAAGATGGGTTCTATATCTCTTAAGAATGCTGCCCAATAACAAATAATAACAAATACAAATTGATTTTTTAGGATCTCGAAGAAAGTGGAGAAGTTGAAGGAAGTGGTAGTTATGATTATGACTACGAGCCAGTAATTGAAGGTAATTAATGTCAACATGTCATCATAATTATATTGACTCGTTACAATTTTCCAATTCCATGTTAGCAACAACAATTTCAGCTTCCATGCCAGTTACAACAACAATACCAACTAGTGCTCCAGACGCATTATCCAATATAACGGAAAATTCATTAAGCACTCAACAAACAATTAAAGAGGTAATAAGTTTTCAAATTGTGGTATTAAATCCCATCAGAAAACTATTAAAGAAGTAACACGAAAATCAATATTAACCTTAAAATTAATTCTTTTGAAAAAATACTCTAGTATGATTTTGAAAGCTACGATTTTAAGTTTTTTGAAGTATTTTTTTATTTTTAATCATATTTTGTAAATAATACAACGTTTTAATTTTCGGTTTTACTTACAGATATTTAACAACACTGAAATATTAAAGAAAGAAAACGATCTGGTTATAACCCGCATTTTAACGCCTCCAGAGGTGAATCCATTGCTAATACAATCTTAATCCCCGAAGTAAGCGGCCAATTAATCAAAACTTTTTTTCAGGACCTCGAAGTTAGTGAAGAGGATGTATATGCTGGTAGTGGTGATTATAACTACGAGTCTGAAATTAAAGGTAAATGAAAGTTAACATATAACTATAATTGAACTAAAACTTGAAAATTTTATAATTTCATGTTAGAAACACCGAACACAACTTCTGAACCAGTTACAACAACAACTACAACGACCAGGGCTCCAGAGGTTTTAAGCACATCAACGGAAAATTCTTCGATCACTGATCAATCAAATCAGGAGGTAATATACATTCGAAACCTAACAAAAAAAAACAAGCGATTCGAATTTTATTTAATTAATAGTAACAAGCTTATATTGTTTTCTTTTATGTACAGTTTTTAAACAATACTCATACCTTAATTAAAGAAAACGATGCTGTATTAACTCGACTATCGACGCCCCCAGAGGTAAAACCATTAATTATAGAATCTAAATCTTCCAAGAAAGCGTCTCAAATAATAAAAATACATTTTTCAGGACCTCGAAGTGAGTGAAGAAGTTGAAGGTAGTGGAGATCACCGAGGTAGTGGAGATCACCATGGCAGTGGAGACCATCAAGGCAGTGGGGATGGTTTCAATGGGCCACAGATTGAAGGTAAAAAAAAAATGTTTATATATATACTGTTCATTATAAAGAATACTGAAAAATTTATTTCCCTTCAGGTACCCCAAGTAACGACCAGCACCTTATTAACGAAGATATTAGCAGTAATATTTTAGAGAATCAAAAGGAAGACTTTTATTTTCAAAGTAATACAAAAACTTAAATTAAATATTTAAACAAAAATATATAAAATATGGTCATACAATTTTACAAACTAATTAATATTAAATCTGATTTATTTTTATTGTTATTGTCAAATGGGACTAAAATGGCTAATAATCACCTAATCGTTGTCCAATTTTCGTTATATTTTCAATTGCACCCACAAATTGCAAACAATAAAACGTAGGTGGTAGAAAGTTATAGCGGCTAATACTAAAATTCAATGCCTCAATTAAGCACAGCAAACGAGTATAAAGACGGTGGTAACACCCACGCCATTTCGATGGGAATACGCACTCCATGTGGCAAAAAGGGGCGTGGCCTCGCAGGATGCACACAGGACCAACCAGAATCTAGTGTGGCGCCCGTTTTGTGTCGCCATGGCTGACGTTGTCTACTCCATTAAAATGAAGTTGTGCTGCTTTTGTGCTGTCCTTTTTTCTTACTCGGCGCCGACGAGACTGCGAAAACAAAAAGCAGATTGTTTCCAAACAAAACAAGGGGCCACATTTCAATGGGGTTTTCACCTGTAAATACGGCCAACCGAGCGAAGAGGCAACACAACAGTCAGTCTGCCCGACAATCGCCACGCAGCCGTCCTCTAAACGGATAAAGTATCTTTTTACTTCGAGCAGAGACTCTGGAGATTGGTAATACCCTAAAAAAAGGTTCCCTCGAAACAACTAGGAATCTGCAAAACCTAAACCAAAAACTTAAATCGAAAATTATTTGCCATTAATAAAAATTATTAGGGTATTTTCTCTAACCAAGCATAACTATCCCTTTTGAAAAATTAAAACGTCTTAATTTATGCCTTCAATTTTCCATCATTTAAGTGAAGTCTTTACTTTAAGTTCACAAAGTGTATTACGACATCGGTGGCAGAAATTAGCTAGCTATTATTCACTTTTGTTCCATCTTGTTTTTCTTTGGCTAAATAAAAATAAGTGCTGTGGAACAGAGAGCTTTGCCTGCAGTTGACAATAAACACGGGAGTTGAATGGCAAGGCGAGGCGGACAGGACTCTAAAATGTTGGTCATTCCTTCAGATGAATGTCCTTTGCCATATGTGTGACTCAGTTGATGATTCCGCCCACCGCCTCCATTATTTTTCCCAGGCAAACTGAAAATTGATTGAGGTTGTAGTGGGAAAATAAAATCTGTTTTCTGTTTCGTTTAAATTTTTTTAAATTTTATTGAGAAATTATCATGGGATAAAATTAATTTATATGGACATTGTATAACTTACCCTCTATGCTAAATTTTTTAGGTAACAAATAAATTCAACCAGCTACCCCATATTTTATTTATTATATTACTGAATTTGCCTTAATTATTTTTTAAGGTAATAAAATTGAAAATTTTTTTTTACATCTCCAACCTATATTTTATTTATCATATTACGCCATAATAAGGGTTACAAAATTGACATAGCTTTAATTATTTTTTAAGGTAATAAAATTGAACAGTTTTTGTTTACATCTCCAACCTATATTTTATTTATCATATTACGCCATAATGAGGGTTACAAAATTCCAGTTCTGGTATCGCATATACAAATCCCTCCCGGCCAGAAAATATTTTGATGACACAACTGTTGTGCTATACTTCATCAATGTTTCAGCAAATATTTTGCTGATATAATTCATTTCAATTCCAAGCCGATAGAGCTCAATCACGCCCCAGCCCGAGCCCCCGAAAATCGTACCTTATAATTTCATCAACATCAATTCAGCCACATAAGACCCGGGGCCACCCGATCCGGCCAACCAGACCGCATTTGTTTGTGCCATTCCGACCATTCAAATGCCCCGGCACGTATTGAAAGCCGCAGCGGAAAAAAGGCAGACAAAACAAATTCACCGAAAAAAGGAGCAGGGAAAGCTGGGAAATGGAAGTGAGCATATTTAATAAGTTGACAAAACATATTTCACACGCACAAATGCGCCGGCTTTCGGTTGGCTTCCATTTTGTTTGCCCTCGACTTACGGCCAACTGCCTACATATGTCAAGCATCATTATTAACAGATTTTCGGCTGCGACACGCACGATACCCAAAAAATATGCCTGTGAGCTCTCCATTTATCCTGGGGCTAGCTGGTCGAAGGGACAAGGAAAGGTGAGGGCCTGAGCCTGCACAGCGTGCCAAAATGTTATTGACATCTATTTCAATATTTATAAACGCGAGCCGAAAGTATTGCCATATGCCGCAAATACAGATTGAATGAAACGCAATAGAAAACACAATGAAAGCTAGCCGCAAACTTGAAAAACTCTTTAAACTCTAGACTCCGGCTTAAACCATCAAAATCAATTTATCGTCAACTTCACAAATAGGCATTAAAGTGGTTCAGAAAGCTTTTCTCACAAAGATGCTCAAAATAAAATAGGTTTTGACTGCTTTAAAAATATAAAGAAACCAGTAATTGTCATAGAAGTAAGTATTTATTTATTGGGAGAAACAAATCTAAAAATTGTATTTTAAAAAGTATTTAGGTGTAAAAAAAAAGTACTTTTTTCAATTTTCAATTTTTTAGTGTAAACCATAAAATAAATAGGTACCTTTATTTTTAGTTACCTTCGAAATCAGATAAAACATTTTCCCAGGATATTTGAGTGATTTTCATCATTGCAACTTGGCCAAAAACCCACTAGAGAAGCCACTCCCATGAAATATGCATTATTTAGCATTTACGAGAGGGGCTCCTCGAGGAAGCTCGTCGTGCAAGTGACAGGGGAATTGGCGGTGAAGTGAAGCCAAGCCTGTTCCGGTTCCACCATTAGCTCTGGTCCGGACCCCCGCATTCCCCAACTACCCAGCTCCCCAACTTCCCGACTGACTGGCCGCAACATAAATGCCATGGCATTGGACCTGACACTAATACGCAAAGCTTGGCTGGGCAACTAATAAGCGTGTGCCGAGGTGTGTCCCAATTCCACTTCCACTTCCAGCAGGCAACTTTCCTGCTGGCCAAAAGGACAGCGCAGAACCACTGGCTGTCAGGACCAAGTTGTAGTTGTGGCCCCCGGGGGAATCCCAAGAGTAAGCAATACGACGGGGTCTTGGAAATGCAACAAGCAAATTAAACCCATATCAAACTGGAAGCATTGAACTGTTATAAGCCGGGCTAGACATCTTGGCTCCGAATGGCCCAGCTAGGCACCTCAAGACGTGCCCAGCTCCAAAAAGGCGTCTTAAATATTTTGGCACAGTGGATAAAATAAGAAGGTTATGTGGTGGAAAATGGGGCTACAAAATGCTCAATTAAATATTATAAGATGGTAAATTTTTTTTGCAGAATTTTACAAGGAAACACTGTTATTTTAATGGATTTTTATATTATTAGAAATATTTTAATTACCCAGAATTTATTTCTTAAATCCCCACAGTGCATTTTCGTCTGACCTTTTTAGGAATTTAAATCAGCGCACTACTAAGAACACGTCCCAGACATGCAAAAATGGCGAAAGAGCAGAGCGATGAGTCGAATCGAATCGAACAGAAAGGAAAATACTCGAACGGCGACCGTATCGTTGGCATATTTATGCGCCATGACCGAAGGATTGTGGCAGATTGTCCCAAGGATGCGGCAGAGTTCAATGCATTGATTATATTGCCATTACCCATCGCCCATACGCCGCGTGGTCCGTCTCATAACAAGGCAAACACAGAGATTCAATATTAAATTAATACCTGCTCCAGTGGATCGGGACGAATTCGGTAATTTATTGATTGACCCCGCCAATCGAAACTTGAGCCAATTGTGGGACATTGGCAGGACGAAACGAACAGACAACCTTCAAAATGCAAAATGTCGAGGATATTATACACATTTCCCTGGCACTTGGTAAATTTATAATCAAAACCAGAAACTCGAAGCCCAAGTAAGTCAATAAAAGTCAGCGCAGAAACAGAACTTGTGGCATTTCGTGCTTATTATTGGGCTTTCAAATCGCCTCAAGCGTGAATTATGCGCTACCAGCGAATCAAATTTGGCGCAAATTCACGCACTGTTTTGCAAGCCATTGAAAGTCGTCGAATTGAATGCAAATAAGCGTAAAGATTCGCTTAGTGACTTTGACCCTAAGTGCCTGGCATTGTTCATTGACAAGTTAATTGAACTTTTGTTTAGCTTCTCGAGGAACTCAAAGTTGAGGTCGCTCGAATAGTTGAATAAAGTTTTATTTCAACATCAAAATAATGTTCATTAACCGAGAATTCTGAGCCGAAAGCAAGGTATCTTAAGCATTCTTAAAGAAAACTTCACGTACAAAACGAATTGCCAAAATTGAGTTATCCATGGTTAGTTAAACCATTGGCGGAAGTAAATTGTATAAATTCGTTAGGCTACCAGAGTTTCCTCGAAAGCCTGCTATAGTAAGAAAAGGACAATTTTTGTGGTCTTCAGAAAAGAACATTCTTGTACTTAAGAATAATTTTAGAAGATTTTCGCACAAAGGAAACATTTTTAAAAAATACTTGAGAAATAAATAAAATGTGGTCCAATTAATTGAATTATTCGGCTTTAACTATAGAGTTTGAAAGACTGTCTATTAACATTTGCTCATTAAAAAACCGACGCCCCACAAGAACTCAAAGGAGTCGACTTGTCTCCTTGATTCTACTTGTTGAGTCGAGTCAGCCAAACGCCTTTAACTGAAGATGAAGCCCCCCAAGAAGAGCCAGAGGACTCGCCTTACTTTCCTCTCTAATGACATGCAATTTAAGGGATTTTAAATAGTGGCACGCAAAAGTATGCCAACAGCATGCGGCATGTCAATGTCATTATGCAAGAAATGGCAGAGTGACGTCGCGACGGCACTGCGGTGGCGGATATTTGTAGCTGCATTTTCACACCGCTTGCATTTTTCATTTACCGCAAATACACAGACGAACACCAGATGAAAATCGCACAGCAATACAGCGATACACAGGAAAACGCATATATGCATGCTCGGGTGTATATAACAATAAATGCATTTT